GTCCACATGCTCCCAGGTGTGGAGACCCCGGGCCCCTCTGCCTCTAGCACATCCCTCCAGCAGAGTAGCTGCACTTCTTACATGGACATTCAGGGCTCCCGGGGGCATGGAAGTAGAAGCTGCGGGCCCTCCTTGGCCCCAGGACTGGACCAGATCAAGGAGGGAGGGGGGGGGGCAGCCTGCAAGGATGTGATTGCCAGGATGCTGGTTCAGTGTGGCCCACTGAATAAGGAAAGGCTGAGGAATACTGGTCCATTTGGGACTATCAGGTCCTCCCCGACACCTTCAGCCCCAGGAAGTGGGGTTGCTGCTTTCTCTGCTTGGATATGAGGGCAGGGTGGCTGTGGCATCTGCACCCCCTTTAATTACTCCTGCACCCAGCCTTGTACCAGGCACATAACAAGTGTGGGAAAAGATCTGCACACTTTTGTACATCATCCCCCTCATGAAAGTCAGTGTTCCTCACACACTAGGGACAGCAACTCTAAGTGTTGAGTTGTTTCACTTCTTGGGGCCTTAAAAAATTATTTTTATTGCGGTAAAATATACGTAACAACATTTACCATTTTAACTATTTTAAATACAATTCAGTGGTATTCAACACCTCCACATTGTTGTGCAAGCATGCCCGTTATCGATCTCTAGAACTTCTTTATTATTCCAAACTGAATCTCCACACCCATTACATAACAACTCCCCATTCCTCCTGCCCCCGCTCCTGGTAACTTCTGTTCTACTTTCTGTGTCTATGAATTTGCCATTCCAGGTACCTAAGTTGAATCATATAATATTTGTCCTTTTGTGTCTGGCTTATTTCATTTAGAATAATGTTTTCAGTGTTCATCTGGTAGCATGTGTCAGAATTGCCGTCCTTTTTAAGGCTGAATAATATTCCATTTTAATGGCTATTCCACATTCTGTTTATCCATTTATCTGTCCATGGACATTTGGGCCTTGGTGCCTAGAGATGCAAGGGGAAATGGACCAGTATTCCTCAGCCTTTCCTTAAAACATCCTTCGTCAGGCATGAAACTCTCCCGCGGTACCGACTGTGGTGTGCGCCCTCAGTGAGCACCCTGCCTTCGAGTTTGTCTTCTCTGTGATCCCACCAGCCCCAAAGATCCCATTGTCATCAGTGTCCCAAACCCAGTGTTTCGTCTGCTTCCCAAATGTATCGTTACCTTTATAATTGAGTTGGAGGGTGAGGGGGCGGGCGTGTCTGTCCTGTCTTGGCTACTGGAGATTGACAGCTGGCTGGGTGCTCCCTTCCACACTCTAACCCCTGTGTGTGTCCAAGCCCTGGGGGGCTAACAAGCATCTTGGGCCTCTGAAAGGTATCTGTCCCCACAAGATGGGCCCAGACCACTGGCGGGCACAGTACCCTGGCCACTAGTAGGGGGGCGTTACCAGGTGGTGAGCAGAAGGGCTCCTTATGCAAGGCCATGGCCACATCTGACCTTGAGGTAACAGGATGGATGTGGGCTCTTGGCAGTGGAGATTGCTCATCCAGGTGGTCTCCAGCTGGGACAGGATGGTCTGGCTTCTTACCTGTCTCTGTGGCCCTCCTCACTTCCCCTCCCTCAGCCCATGGTCTTTATTGGAGTTGGCTTCCGTGGGGGACCAGGACCGTGTTCTACACCATTCCTGCCACACACCTTGGCTCTTGGCACTCAAGGGCTAGGATGGTGATTTCTTTGTTCTCTAGTTCTCCTCGGACAATCTTCCTTTAAGGCAATATTTTCAAACTTTTTGGACTGTTACATACAACAAGACTTAGATTTTACATTAAGTTGGGGTACACCTACATAAATATATATGTGAAAATATAATCAAAAGTTTTAAGTAATAGTACTTTTCTGACAAAAGACGTACTCTGAGATTTTCTTCTCTAGTCTGCCCTGTCATTAAAAAGACAGATTGGTCCACTGACTCAACTGATGTCATGGCCCTCTATTGGGTCCCAATGAGTAGATTGAAACTCACCACCTTGCCGTCATGGGACATTGTGGTCTAGGAGTGTGGGTAGAGTTGTGTGGGTGAGGCTTGAGGAAACAAGTGACAAATTGCCATGGGGAATGGAAGAGTAGGTTTATTCCTCTTCACTGAGTCTTTCCATCTGGAGGATCGCCTCATGTCTTCAGCACCATTCCCACGAATGCCTGCTGGCCCCCAATTCTGCAGAGCAACCTGGGGAGAGGGCATATTCCCCCCGCCGCCCCAAACCCCAGCATGAGCTGTGAGCTCTTCTGTATCTTTAATTATTGAGTCTATTATATGTGCATAAAACCACATCTCTTAAGGCCAAAATTAATTAGCAAGGACAGGACAAGTCTAAATTCATGATGAGGAAGGAACTGTTTCCTAATTAGCAGCGTGCCTTCCCTTTTCGTGGCGCCTGTCAGGCATGTGATTGTGTTGAGTTACTGTTTCATTTCTTTCTTGCTCCTCTTTGGGGCTCTAGTGCCCATCGGTGACCCCTCAGTGTCATCCGGAGGGTCCAGACTTGGCCCTTCTAACCAGGATTTAGTGAAATCCAGTTGAGGGCCTTTGTTCCCGTCATCCTCGGGGAAGGCAGGAAATGGAAAATATTTAAAAGCCATTTTGCACAGGGCTTGGCACACAGACACTACTTAATTAATACTAGTCAGAGCACCGGGAAGTGCTTCCAACTGCACAGCTCAGGAGAGGCTGCAGACGGAATTTTCCATGTTACTCCTGTAGGTCCTAGGACAGTGATGGCGAACGTTTTGAGCTCGGCGTGTCAGCATTTTGAAAAACCCTAACTTAACTCTGGTGCCGTGTCACATATAGAAATTTTTTGATATCTGCAACCATAGTAAAACAAAGACTTATATTTTTGATATTTATTTTATTTATTTAAATGCCATTTAACAAAGAAAAATCAACCAAAAAAATGAGTTCGCGTGTCACCTCTGACACGCGTGTCATAGGTTCGCCATCACTGTCCTAGGAATTGATAGAGGAGGGGACATAGATGCTTAGATGGCATCTTATATCTTTTCCAACCCCGTAAAGAAGACACTCATTATAATTAATTTGTTGCCGAGAGAACTAAGGCCTAGAGATGCTATAAGCCCCACCTCAGGTCACACAGCAGTGGCTGTTATGTGAATGACTCCAAAGCCGTGTGTCTAATGCCTGCTGGAGCCACACCAGCATAGCCCACAAGGAGACTTAGAGTGGTTCCGCCAGGGCAGACCTGGGCCATTTTGATAAGGAAACTGGTGTCCCGCCCAGGACATCCCTCCCCCTGTGCTTCCTGTCATCCCCTCCATTCGTTGATTCACAGCCGTATTGTGAATGCAGTCTTATGGCGTTCTCTGAGAACAGTGATTCCATCCTCTGGTGAGGAAGTGAACGTGCAGCCAACTTGGAAAAGGACCCATTCATTCAGCATCCAGTTACTGGGGACCTCGCTATAGATGGGGTTACTAGCATGGTAAGGCATGGTGTCTGCCCCCTGAAGTTCATGGTCCAGTTGGGAGGACAGCCATAGAAGCACACAGTTATCCTGCTGTCTGCTACCTGTGGTCACAGCTTACAATAAGGGAGGCTTATCAGAGGAGAAAATGAGCTGGGTATTGAAGAATCAGTAGGAGTTCACGAAATGCTTCCGGGTGGGGCACAGAGGGGAGAGGAGGGGTAGTAGACTTAAGTTTAATGAGTATGCTGTGTGTTGGGCACCTCACTCATCCTATCTTTTTTTTTTAAGTTTATTTATTTATAAATACATTTTTATTGATTTCAGAGAGGAAGGAAGAGGGAGAGATAGAAACATCAATGATAAGAGAGAATCATTGATCGGCTGCCTCCTGCACCCCCCCCACTGGGGGTCAGGCCTGCAACCCGGGCATGTGCCCTTGACCGGAATCGAACCTGGGACCCCTCAGTCCGCAGGCTGACGCTCCATCCACCGAGCCAAACCAGCTAGGGCCACTCAGCCTATCTTGTCTAATTTTCGCTGTGGGTCTGATCTCACCACCACAGTGTCAGTTCTGGTTGTCTACCCTGACCATTCTGCGTTACCTTGTCCCAGCCCTCCTGAACACATCGACCTGCCTTGGGATAGCCCGCTTCAGACAGACCCCTTCAAGGCCAGGGTAAGCTGGATCTTTTAAAGTCTGAGATAGGCCGGCTGGTGTGGCTCAGTGGTTGAGCATTGACCTATGAATCAGAAGGTCGCGGTTCGATTCCCAGTCAGGGCATATGCCCGGGGTGGGGGCTCAGTCTCCAGTGTGGGGCGTGCAGGAGGCAGCTGATCCATGATTTTCTCTCATCATTGATGTTTCTATCTCTCTCTCCCTCTCCCTTCCTCTCTGAAATCAATCAAAATATATTTAAAAAAATAAAAATTGAGATAAAATTCCCATGCTCTAAAATTCACCATTTTAACTATTTAAAGGTGTACATTTTAAATAGTTTTTAGTATATTCAGAATGCTGTGCAATCATCATCGCTCTCTAACCTCAGCCCATTTCGTCACCCCAACAAGAAACCTCTGTTAAGCCTTCACTCCCCATTCCCATCTGCCCCCAACCCCTGGAAAGTACTTATCTGTGGATTTGCTTATTCTGGACGTTCATGTAAATGGAATCCTATAATATGTGGAGGTGGATGGCTTTAAAAAGAAAAATGGAATCTTTTCAATGAAGATCATTCATTCTTAGAGTCAGAAAATGTGCAATTGAAAAATTTCATTTAGAAAATCTGGAATAACAATTACAAATCATTAAGAAAAGTCAGCCTGGGTATTTTCCTTTAAAAACAGCCTTCTGATGGGCTGCTGATTCTCCATCCTGGAGCTGGGAGAGGAGTCGGTGACTGGCGCTGGGCATCCATGCGGACTGGTGGGTCCTCAGGGCAGCCGTTGGTTTGTAAGTTTTCCTTTGGCAGGTGAGCTGCAGTGCGTGTCTGAGAAGCTGCCCCTCTGGGAGGGGCAGGGGTAGGACCGTCTCTCACTCCCTCTGTGTCTCTCATAGGGGTGAAGAAGAGAACCAAAGTCATCAAGAACAACGTGAACCCTGTGTGGAATGAGGTATGCGCGTTTCTTCACCTCCCTCTCCTCTCTCTGCTGCCACTGCCTGTGTAGGGACAAGTCAGGGGCTGGTGCCGGAGGGGCTGGTGGTCCCATGTGCCAACTAAATCCTCCTGGCGCTTGGAAGCTGGGAGGACGGTGGTGGCCCGGCATGCCAGGCAAACAGAGGTGGGTGTGGCCTGGGGAGGAGTAAGTGTCTATCTCTGTTCCCTCCAGCTCAGTCAGCCAGGTAGAGGGTGGTTAGGGGCTCCCTTGCCTGTCTTGTCTCCCTTACACAGGCCATTCTCCCTGCCCAAAGCCCACCTCTTTCCCATCGAGCTCCCAGATGCACCAGGCCCTCCTCTGGCTCCTGCTGGCCCCTTGCTCTTAACCAGCTCCCTTCCTAGGCCTCCCTGGTGGTCCCTGGGAAGCCCTGGATGCCTTCAGTGGACGGGGCTGGGATGGACAGGGGAGCCTCTGCTCTGAGGAAGGTCCGGGGCCTCTGGCTGGGCCTCCCCAATGTGGCACTAACTCCTGCTGCCCAGCAGGGAGGGGCCTGGCTTCTGATGAGCACATTGGTCTTGGCCCCTGAGGACCCGGCAGGCTCCCCGGGCATTTTCCCCAGCGGTGCTTCTAGGCCTGGTGACTGGTGGAATTGAATTGGGGAGGGGGTTAGGGGAGTCTGGCCTCCTCTCTTCTGTTGCCGTCAGCTCTCACTGTCACCCTGAATCTTGGGACCCTGCCATTCATGTATTCATTCATTCACTCATTTACCCACTCATCCACCAGCATCATTTATGGATGCCTGCTCAGGGCCCTTGGATGACCAGGGTGAACGAGACAGTCCCTTCTCCTCGGGGGCCACGGGTTAAGTGCGATGTCTTTTCTCCTTTTCTTCCAGGGCTTTGAGTGGGACCTCAAGGGCATCCCCCTGGACCAGAGCTCCGAGCTGCATGTGGTGGTCAAAGACCATGAGACGATGGGGAGGAACAGGTGAGGCGGGCAAGGGGGTCTCTGTGGCCTGCGGGTCCAGGTAGGCTCATGGTGGACATATATTCCACAGTCTGGGCCCGGAGAGCTGGTGTCTCAACTCAGCATTTGCTGAACACCTGCCTCTCCTGGCTGCCTGGCTGCAGCCTCAAAAACTCAGCCCTCGGTAAGTCCGAGCTGCCCAAGCTGCAGGGAAGGTGATGGGCTGGAGTCAGGTGTGCACGTGTTTGCACAGACAGCCTGTGGCCCAGGGAGTGGGGAGGAGAAGGCACCCTGTGTCCTGCTCCAGCCCAGGGACGCCTGGGCGTGGTTCTCTCTCCTCGCCCTGCCCAGACTGGAGAGGGCAGCGGCACACTGCGGGAGGCAGGCAGGCCGCCAGCAGGGAGCTCTCGAGGAAGGCTTCATGGAAGAGGTGGGCCTGGAGCTGAGATTTGTGGTTTGGATGTCGGAACGGTAATAACAGTTCCCACAGACTGCACTCCTCCCTGGTGATGTTTTCTGTTGTTATTTCACTAGGTAGCGGGAAGGGTTGCCAGACAGAGGGAATAGCAGATGCAAAATTGTGGTGGCAAAAGCAGGCTCTCTGGTGATCCCTTCTCTTGGCATTGAGCTCCTGGGCCTTGTATGTGCTGGTGGTAGGGGTGTGGGGTGGGCAGGACCAACGGAGCATGCAGAGGGTCCTGTTGATTGTGGGTGGCGTGGCCTGGGGACAGATGCAGCTTGCGAGGCTGCACAGCTGTGACCGTCAGGGGCTCAGCAGTGCCCGCTGGGCATGGTGGGGAGCAGGGGCAGCAGTGTTAGGTGCCGGCAGGGGTGGGTTCATGCTCTTGGTGCCATTTACTGAGGTCTGGGCGCAAGGATCTGGCATGGTGGCCTTGCTGTTTTGTGATCTGCTCACAGGGGAGCCTTTGTTTGGGAACTGGGTCAGTGGTGTCTGAGTCCTGGGAGGCCTGGCTGTGTTACCTTGGGGTGGGGGAGGGGAGAGAGGGAAGGAGGGAGGATTCAGAGACCTGGGGAAGGCTGACAAGGGTCTCAGGCTGCAAAACACCTGGGAAGTTTGAAATCTTAAAAGGCTTGGAAGAAAAACCCAACTGCCACTGTTTCTCTGTGGTTCTACTGGCCATGGGTGCAGAGCATGATATGTGTGGGGTCATTTCTGCTGGGCCTTCCCAAGGTGGGGCTGTAAGGTGTGGGAGCCAGGGCCTCCGCAGCACCAGCCTGCACAGGCGGCAGGGGCTAGAACCAGCTCACACGAAGCTATCCCAACACAGGCAAACATTTTGTAGAAAACATAGCAGCCTCCAACGAGAACAAATGGTGGGCCGGCAAATCAGGAAGGGAGTGATTCTGAGCACTGGGTAGTCCTGGAGGGCTTCCTGGAGAAGGGCCACTCAGCCTGACTTAGAGGCTGGGGTAGGCTTTAGAGAGGTGAGGAAGGGAGGGCATCCGGTGTCTGGGTACGGAGGCAGCCAGGCTAAGGCCTTATAGGTGGGACTAAGTCACATGACAAGTGAGCCAACTGAGAAGGCAGCAATGGGCCCAGATTGATAGGGGCCTCCAATACCAGGCTGAGGATAATAGTAGCAAAACCACAACAGCTGATGTTTTCTGAGAGCTTAGCCAAGGGTCTGGCCCTGGGCTGAGTCTTTATGTACAGGATCTTTTAAAATCAGTTACATACTACTATTAGAATCGTCATCATTACAGGTGGGGAAACTGAGGCTCCGAGAGAATGGGTGATTTTCTCCAAGGCTAGTGATAGCAGAGCGGTGATTGGAGGGCTCATCTGCGTCTTGCTCATGATCATTACACCTTTCAGAGGCCCCTGGAAGCCCTAGGAGGGGGCTGGGACCTTCTGGAGACTTCAGTTCCCTGAAGATGCTGGAGTGGAGGGGGAGAGCTTAGCGAGGCAAAGGCGGGGCAGTTTGTATACTGAGAGGCACGCAGAGGAAATGCATGTTTCATTTTCATGATCAGATGCAGCATTTTACAGACCTTGTGGGGAAATTTCTAAGATCCTGAAGGCAGCATGAGTGCAGGGGCCATCAACATATGTTTGATCAGTTCAGGGGCCAGGCTGGCCTTCAGGGTGACACCAGGCCAGTGCCACACATGGCCTGTCCCGGCCGTGGGTCAGAGGTCACAGCAGGGGCCAGGCTGCACTGCACCTTGGGGCCCTCTCATTGGCCCCCGTGGGCGTTCTCCAGGTCCTGGAGGGAAGCTGCCTCTCAGAAAACCACTTCCCATGTGACTAGTTCACTGCAGGGCCAGTGTGCTGGAACCAGTTCCTCAAACACGAAGTTACAGAAGAGCAATTCACGTAAGTTCCCAATTTACCAGACCATTGAGATATAATTTCTAATAACCATTGAAATATAATTTTTGAGTTTTCCAAACATTTATCTCAATTTTGCATTTCTAGCAATTAAAAATTAAACATTGGCCCTGGCCGGGTAGCTCAGTTGGTTAGAGCATCGTCCTCGAAACACCAAGGTTGTGGATCCCTGGTCAGGGCACATACAAGAAGCAACCAATGAAGGCATAAATAAGTGAACACATCGATGTTTCTCTCACTCTCTCTCTCAAATCAATAAGTAAAAATTTAAAGAAGAATTAAATCAAACTCAAATGTAAACTTAGATTTATAAATATCTGAAGCATTTCAGAGGTTGCCCACACAACACTGCCACCTGTGGAAATGATAGAATTCTGGCCTCAGTGGAGAAGCCAATGGGTGCCCAGCCCGGGTAGCAGTTTGCTTGAATGTTGGATGCGGGAGGGGGGACCTGCTGGAGCAGGGCAGGCAGGCAGGGTACGTGCCCGGTGCTGCCGTGAAGCCTCCATGGCGAGACCTCACAGTGCTTTCACCTTACACATGAAATCTGAGAGAAGAATTCGAGAGTAACAATTCTAAAGCGATGAAAGTAAGAAACATACCGGGAAGTGACATGAGTAACCCTGTGACATTTTTCATTTTGAAAGAGAAAATGGGAAAAAGTCAGTGACCTGCGTTGAGGGAACATTTTAAATAGCACATCTACTCACCGCCCTCCAGTTGTCACCGGCTGGTCAGGAAGCAAACAGGGAAGTAACAGGCATGACAGTGACCGTGGTCACCTGATTGCCCTCAGGGCCTCTGTGAGGTCCCTCGGGGTCGTCGTGCAGCAGCCCCCTTCATTGCTGGGGTTTTGGGTGTGTGTCCTGCGAGCTCATGACTGGTGTACCCAGGTCATCTTCCAAGCAGGTGGGTCACAGCCCTCCACCGCTGTTCACGCCTGCGGTCTCCCTCCATCCGGCCTCCTCTCCCTCCCCCTGACCTCCCTCCTTGGCCTCCATCTGTTGCTAGAGTTCTCAATGCTTATTCTTTAGTCTCAAAGTCTCTCGCCATCCGGCCTCCTCTCCCTCCCCCTGACCTCCCTCCTCGGCCTCCATCTGTTACTAGAGTTCTCCTCAATGCCTTGCTTATTCTTTAGTCTCAAAGTCTCTCACTTTGCTTTTTTTCCTTCATCATCCCCTTTCCTTTTAGTCTTTCTCTCCACCAAGTCTCCCCACCTCTCTTTCTCCAGGGCTTTTGGGGCGCTTGACACTTCTGTGTTTCCCTGACGGCTGATGGCAGTTTGGGGTGACCTCGCTATCCTAGACTGGTCCACTGGCCTGGAGTGGGATCTTGGAAAGTCCCGGGGGGGGCGGGGGGAGGAGGAAATCTCAGGCTGGGAACTGCCTCCTGGCTGCTCAGCACCCCATCCACCCTCAGCCTGAGGGACCCCAAGGGTGAATACACTTTGTGTTGATAAAATCGGGTTTGAAATGCACATAAAAGGAAACTCTACTTCTACGGGTGGGAGACGCTCATTGTAAATCCAGCTGGAGGTCCTGGACTCCCATCCCAGGCTGCCCTGAACAGCTCACTTCCTGTTTACTCTGGGCGTCTCAGAGGGACGCCGGAGGGGAGGGGACCCTGATCCCTCACCAGCTGTTTTGACCCCTGGGATGTTCAGCCCAGAGGTTCCTAATGCAGCCACACCACAGCATCCCCGGCAGCTTTCACAGACACTGTCTGGCCCCACCCTGGGATTCGGATTTAATTGGTTGGGGGCGGGGCCGCCATCAGGACAAACTCTCAGGTGTTGGGTATTTCTATGTGCAGCCTGGGCTGAGACCCCCTCATCTCCACTCCGGACCAGTGCTACCCAGTAGAACTTTCTGAGATGATGGAACTGTGCTGGCTTGTGTAACGGAGGAACGGAATCTTAAATTTTATTTAATTGAAATATAAATAGCTAATGTGTGTGGCGGCTGTGTGTTGGACAGTGCGGGTCTAGGTTTTTAGACCAGTGTTGCAATCCTGCCTGCATATGAGAATGACCTGGAGGCTGTGAAACATCCGTGTCTGGGCTCAGAGGATGAACTGGAGTAGGAGGCAGGCATGAGCACTTCTGGAAACTGCCCAGGGGAGGCCAGTGTGCACCAGGGTTGAGCAGTGTGGGCCCTTCTGCCAGGAATTGCTCTCAATTTTCTTCATGGATTCACTAAGAAACAAATATAACCTGGTAATAGTTTATGTGTGTGATTGTTGGTGGAAATGATCACCATACAGTATGGCCCAAACTGCACGTGGTAAACTTGATAAGGAAATGAAAACTGACGGAAGAATCTTGTTGGCAACTGTAAACACTGACCTGGAAAAATGGGTTTTAATAGAAATAATTCCACCAAAGAAAACTCAAAATGGAAGGGAGCCAAATTTGGTAAAGCTTAGTATGAACCTCAACAAAGAAAACAAATCTGAGCTAAATCTGTGTTGGGGAATTTAAACAGAAAACAATTGTTATCAGTGGCAATGATGTTGGTAAAATAAAAATGAAGATTAAGAAAAAAGGAAAGTTTGATTGCGTTGTTTAGAAAATGTATCCAATTAAACGGGGTTACCTTGTTCTGGAAAATGCCTTCCTGGTGAAAATTAATTAATGTAAGTGTATTTTTGATTCAAATGTCTGGTACAT